TCTTTCCCTCCTTTATTTTACTGACATTTTCTCCAGCCAGAGTTCCAGCATCTTTGTGAAACCATTAATGATTTTCCATGCTCCATTTTTCAAAACATGAAATGGTGTCTAGGTACACAAGCTCTACCTCTGTCCATGGCCCCTTCCGCAGACTCACACCCCGAACCCAGTCGGAAGTGTCTGCCCCGAGCTCCCCTGCACGGGTTACTGCTTGTATTTCAGCCTGTCTTCGATCTTTCACGCCTCTGTCTCTTTCTGTGTCAAGACTGTGAGAGCTCCTTGAGAGCAGGGACTGTCTCTGCCTCCTAGGACTCCTGGCCCTGGGAACTAGCTTAGTGAGCATGTTCTGAGTGAATTGGAGGGTGGGGCACAGCGGGAGGTGATTTACTTTTCCTCCAGAAAGGAGAGGTAGCCAAGAGGAAGATTCTGCCTCCTGGGGTTGAGGCTGCTTTGAGATCACAGGAATCTCTTCCCTGATCCTTGGTAACAAGTGGTAAAAATGGTAAAAAGTGGTAAAGCTCTCTAAGATGTCATACTTTTCTGTTTTTCCCTTCAAGCAAGCAACCCGATGATAGCAGCTCAGTTCTGGTAAGTGCCCCCAGAGTCCGGGTATGGCTCTGCTCTCGAATTACTGTATTTGTTTGCAATGTTGACTTTTTCCTTAATACAGTTAAATCACAGAATGAAGCACCTGATGGTTTCCTCTCCACCCCCTTTTGCTGCTGCCTGGCTATACCATCTGCCAGGCTTTCAATAAGTACACAGTAGAATGTTCCAAGACAGTTTGTTTTTTTGGAAAACACAGATGCTTTGTTTGAGTGGCTTTGTGCTTTGTGTATTGTAACAGTGGGTGATAAAGGTGATAGGAATGTGTATGGCACAGTGTGCTAACGGCACTGCAGGCAGTGATGGGAAAGAAAGACCGTGCTCTTGAGCAAAAGCTCCCCGAGAACAAAAACTGGATCCACTCAGTGACGTGCGGGTTTCATGTCATACAACGTAGAGGACCTTTATCAACACCCAGTGAAATTCCTGTAGGAAGAGAACTTGTCACAAGACTGAAACTCTAGCACCGATGTCAACAAACTTTTTCTGTAAAGTGCCTGGTTGTAAATATTTTAGACGTCGCAGGCTCTGCTGTCTCTCTCAGGACCATTCCACTCTGCCCCCCGGAGCATGAAAGCAGCATAGACAGTATGTAAATGAACGACTCCTGGCGTGTTCTGATTAAACTTTACTCACAAAAGCAGGTGGGCCAGGTTCGGCCCATGGGGCGTGGTTGGCCGCCCCCTTTTCCAGCACAGGTGGCCTTGATCTTTCCTGTACATTGGAATCACCTGCTGAGCTTTGAAACCCTCAGCCAGGCCACACCCCAGGCTAATCGAATCAGTCTCCGGGTGAGGACCTGGGCATCTGTGGTTTTAAAGCTCCCAGGTGAGTCTCGTGTGCTGCCCAAGAGGACACTGTCCCACCTGGTGTGTATTTCTCTTTCTCGCCCTGAAACAGTTGTTTTCTTATGTGCGTTTCGACCTCAGTGGACAGCTGCCATGCTAGAGAATCACAGACTATGTAATTGTTTCGGCCCTTGTGTCCAAGCTCCAGCCACTGGTAGCCCCATCTGGTTAGTCTCTGGTCATCCCAGGCACAGGTCTCAGGCTACCGGGGAGGGTGGTCTTTGAGGTCAGCATACCTTGGTGTGCCGTACGCCCTGGGCAGTTGGTAGAGTGTGGCGTGTGGAGGAGTGGGTTAGTGATGAGGCATCAGGAGGCCTCCCGCCCAGCCCTGGCATTTCTCTAACTCAGCTCTGGGGCGGCCTTTTTCTCATCTGAAAACAAAGAGGTTGGGCTAGATCAAGTGTTTTTTCGAAATTTTTTAGCTTTTGATTTTGGCCCACTAGGAGGAACCTGCCATGGAAGCCCATTACAGAGAACAGACCAAAGCGGGACTGCTCTGGGTGACACCGAGCAGGGAGGGGAGGGCTGGCACCTGCTGCTCACTCACCCCCCCTCATCCCACAGGCAACCCCAAGACACCTCCACGGACCCCGAGGTTCTGGAGAACATAGCTGGCCGTTGTATCACACAGCTGGAAGCTCAGCCTGGTACTCTGATGGCAGACTCTGCTTGCAGTGCCATTCGGCTGGGCGTCAGACGTCTGGTTCTTCTGTCTGGGTTCAGTTCTGAGCATCTCACGAAGGGCTCCAGGCTCCTGTTGAACTGCTGTGCATCAGGCCTGAACCCCTGAGGATGGGAGGAGGTGGCAGGGATCCTGCATGGGTTAGTTTTAGGCCTGCAAGCTTGCCCTGTTTCCAGGATCCCTAGGCAAGGTAGTATGCTGAAAGTATGCCTGTCAGCATGTCTTGTTTTTAATTCTCAGGGGCTCGTGAGTTACATTTCTTTCCTTTGCTCTCTAAGGAAATGATCATTTTGCTTGTTTGTTTTTCCCTAGTAAAATTACATTTTCCCCTTAGCGTCTAGTAGAGATTATATATATTGAGAACCAAAATAAACTAAAACAACAAATCACCACACACAAAAAAAACCACCCAGTAAATATACCCTTTAGGAACAAATGAGCTAATAACCACTGTTCGCAGCTGTTCAGTTGCTCTTCATAGCCTGTGGGATCCTGAGGGTGGGGAGAGCTTCTATGGGAGCCGGGGATGAAACTGTGCTCTGGGCGCAGAGGTGATGCCAGGAAAATAGCACCTTGCAGAACACTTAGCCCTCCTGGTGAAATGCAGCCGGGGGTGAATCTGGCCCAGAGCTTGGCTCTGTGGACTGGCCCTCTATGAAAACTGGAAGACAGGGTTATTTAGACCCTAAGCAAGACTCATAACAATGAAATGTTTTCCTCTCATTTCTGGAGGAGCAGTAAACCTTGATTTTGAACACGCCACCCTAGCAGCCTAGCCGGATGACGGTGCTGGGTTGGTCTGTGGTTTTTCTGGCAGATGCCGAGCTTGCATATTAAATACATTGTGTTTTGCACCAACCGTTTCCACCCATACTTTTGACCAGAGTAGTTATACTTCAGATTCCATCAAAATAGGATCATGCATGAAGAGCCTGGAACCTTTCCGCAGGTTCTCAGAGAGCCAGCGTGGCTTGGCGGAAAGGATACTGGCCTAGGGGTTTTGCAAATGTCAATTCTGGTCACGGTGCAGCCATGGACTAGCTAGCAAGTGTCCTAACTTCTCTGTTAGGCAACCGTTCCTTTATCTGTAAAATGAGGTGGTAACATTTATTGACCTCATAGCCTTGTTGTGTGGATTAAATAATAACAGATGTGAAGTTCCCAGTACAGAACCTTATGTGGAATGAACATTCCAGAGTGGTGGCCACATCATGGCAGCATTGTTGAGAGCAGTGGGACCCACAGTGGTGTATGCTCAGAAGTGGCTGGTGGCCCTCCCCTGAGCTGGAGAAAGCCCTGGGCATCACTGGAGCTGCCCGGTACCATGGGCCACCCAGCAATGCCAGGGCAGGCCTGGAATGGGAGCTAAAATTATTTAGTTTGCCCAACTGAAAGGACCTCCTTTTTGCCACCAAAATATAACATTATAAGCACGGGTCTGGAATATTACCTACATGTTTCTATTTGTGAGCTCTAAAGTGACGGATGAGAGCTGCTGTTTGGTTTCCCCAGTTATATGTTCATTTAAGCCACTAGTAACCAAAAAGGAATAGAATTTGTAAAAGTTGCTAACAGAGTAGCTAGCACCTAGGATTAGTTTACAACTGTTAAATAAATCAGTAATAATGCCGCTTTACAACCTGTTACAATACAATTTTTCTTTTCTTTTTTTAGCTCTAAAACAAATCCTGAAGTCCATAATTACCAGGTGAGCTATTGCTTTTAAAGGTTTTCATGTCATACTTCTTAAAGTGTCTAAATTTTCCACACTGAGCAGTCATTGCACTTACAGTCAGGTTTGGAAGAAATAACAGCAGTACATGTTTTTTTGAGAAAAGAGTAAGAGGAGAGCCTTCTCCCCTAACCCCTGCTTCCTCTTGGTCATCTGAGCTGCCTGTTTTTCTTAACCTTGTACACTGGCAAGCAGCAGGGATATATGTTCTAAGTTTCTGGGTGGTCAAACACAGCCTCTCGGGGGCACTCAAGTGAGGCCATTTTTTGTCCAAGTGTGTTCTAGGCCCAGGGAACATGAGTCCCTGGAGATGTGCCCCCAGGAAAAGGATGTCTTGCTCACATGTTTGGGAAATGCTGCGTCCTTCATTCCCTTCTTGGATCTTATGGTGCCCATTGGGATGTCAAAAGTGCTGAAAAATGCTTCAAGGAAGACAATTGTTTTGTTTTTTTAAATCCAGTGTCTCCGCAAATCATTTGACTCTTGGACAACCTTCCCACCATAAGAAAAGCTGGCTTCCCCCACCACTTCTGTTGGTGGTGTGTTCATTTCCATCAGTGGAATAGTGGTTTCCAGAACCTGCCTTGTAAAGCACTGTGCTAGGCCTGTTGGCTGCAGAAGGAGTGGAGCTGGGTTTCCATGGCTGATGTTCTGCTCTTTCACAGGATGACCATCAAGGCCCGAACCCCCTGCCTGCCCACCAGCCACTGCTGTGGGTAGCTCTCGCTGGCTGTTCGCAGCCTTCTGTAACCTGGGTCCAGCTTAACTTTTCTACATTTATTGTCCTTGCTCCTTAGCATACATCATGTGTTCAGTTCTTAGAGAATCACATCATTTTTTAAAAAACATCTTTGTTGGAGTACAATTGCTTTACATTGTTGTGTTAGTTTCTGCTGTATAACAAAGTGCATCAGCTATACGTATACATATATCCCCATATCCCCTCCCTCTTGCGTGTCCCTCCCACCTTCCCTATCCCACCCCTCTAGGTGGTCACAAAGCACTGAGCTGATCTCCCTGTGCTATGCGGCTGCTTCCCACTAGCTAGCTATTTTACGTTTGGTAGTGTATATGTCCATGCCACTCTCTCAGTTTGTCCCAGCTTACCCTTCCCCCTCCCCGTATCCTCAAGTCCATTCTCTAATAGGTCTGCGTCTTTATTCCCGTCTTGCCCCTAGGTTCTTCATGACCATTTTTTTTAGATTCCATATATATGTGTTAAGCATACGGTATTTGTTTTCCTCTTTCTGACTTACTTCACTCTGTATGACAGACTCTAGGTCCATCCACCTCACTACAAATAATTCAATTTCGTTTCTTTTTATGGCTGAGTAATATTCCATTGTATATATGTGCCACATCTTCTTTATCCATCCATCTGTTGATGGACACTTAGGTTGCTTCCATGTCCTAGCTATTGTAAAGAGAGCTGCAATGAACATTGTGGTACATGACTCTTTTTTTTTTTTTGGCGGTACACGGGCCTGTCACTGTTGTGGCCTCTCCCATTGCTGAGCACAGGTTCCGGACGCACAGGCCCAGCGGCCATGGCTCACGGGCCCAGCCGCTCCACGGCATGTGGGATCTTCCCGGACCGGGGCACGAACCCATGTCCCCTGCATCAGCAGGCGGACTCCCAGCCACTGTGCCACCAGGGAAGCCCTATGACTCTTTTTGAATTATGGTTTTCTCAGAGTGTATGCCCAGTAGTGGGATTGCTGGGTCGTATGGTAGTTCTATTTTTAGTTTTTTAAGGAACCTCCATACTGTTCTCCATAGTGGCTGTATCAATTTACATTCCCACCAACAGTGTAGGAGGGTTCCCTTTTCTCCACACCCTCTCCAGCATTTATTGTTTGTAGGTTTTTTGATGATGGCCATTCTGACCGGTGTGAAGTGATACCTCATTGTAGTTTTGATTTGCATTTCTCTAATGATTAGTGATGTTGAGCATCCTTTCTTGTGTTTGTTGGCAATCTGTATGTCTTCTTTGCAGAAATGTCTATTTAGGTCTTCTGCCTATTTTTGGATTGGGTTGTTTGTTTTTTTTTGATATTGAGCTGCATGAGCTGCTTGTATATTTTGGAGATTAATCCTTTGTCAGTTGCTTCATTTGCAAATGTTTTCTCCTATTCTGAGGGTTGTCTTTTTGTCTTGTTTATGGTTTCCTTTGCTGTGCAAAAGCTTTGAAGTTTCATTAGGTCCCATTTGTTTATTTTTGTTTTTATTTCCATTTCTCTGGGAGGTGGGTCAAAAGGACCTTGCTGTGATTTATGTCGTAGAGTGTTCTGCCTATGTTTTCCTCTACGAGTTTTATAGTGTCTGGCCTTACATTTAGGTCTTTAATCCATTTTGATTTTATTTTTGTGTAGGGTGTTAGGGAGTTTTCATTCTTTTACATGTAGCTGTCCAGTTTTCCCAGCACCACTTATTGAAGAGGCTGTCTTTTCTCCACTGTGTACTCTTGCCTCCTTTATCAAAAATAAGGTGACCATATGTGCATGGGTTTATCTCTGGGCTTTCTATCCTGTTCCATTGATCTATATTTCTGTTTTTGTGCCAATTGCCATACTGTCTTGATTACTGTAGCTTTGTAGTATAGTCTGAAGTCAGGGAGCCTGATTCCTCCAGCTTCGTTTTTCTCTCTCAGGATTGCTTTGGCTATTCAGGGTCTTTTGTGTTTCCATACAAATTGTGAAAATTTTTGTTCTAGTTCTGTGAAAAATGCCATTGGTAGTTTGATAGGGATTGCACTGAATCTGTAGATTGCTTTGGGTAGTAGAGTCATTTTCACAATGTTGATTCTTCCAACCCAAGAACATGGTATATCTCTCCAACTATTTGTATCATCTTTAATTTCTTTCACCAGTGTCTTATAGTTTTCTGCATACAGGTCTTTTGTCTCCTTAGGTAGGTTTATTCCTAGGTATTTTATTCTTTTTGTTGCAGTGGTAAATGGGAGTGTTTCCTTAATTTCTCTTTCACATTTTTCATCATTAGGTATATAGGAATGCAAGAGATTTCTGTGCATTAATTTTGTATCCTGCTACTTTACCAAATTCATTGATTAGCTCTAGTAGTTTTCTGGTAGCATCTTTAGGGAGAATCACATCATTGTTGCCCCATAATTTTTTCCCACTGTTCCTTGGCCCACACTTGTCTGCTGGGAAGCTGTCACATCCACAAAGCCTTCTCTGAGCCCCTTGATTAGAAATCACCAGCACCAGTGGTTCTCAGCCCTGCTGCATGTTAGAACCATCTGTCAAGCTTTAAAAAAATAATTGGTGCTTGGGCCTCAGCCTGGACTGGTTGAATCAGAAACTCTAGGGTGGGTGGGATCTGGGTATTGGCAAGCTGCGGTGCCTCTCTAAGGTGGTTCTGATGAGCGGCCAGGTGGGGTCCCTGAGCTAATGATGTATCCCTGGCTTCCCAGGTTATCGTGTGCTGAGAGGCAGCATCCATGTCTGATGACCCCCTAACATGGTGGCCAGCTTTCTTGTCCTGGGTGGGTGTGAATGTCCAAGGGACACACCCCTCCTGAGTTTCTCTGCCCTATCGCCAGTCTCTTTTGAATGTCACAATAAAACTACTCCATGATGAGTTCACTTTGGAGCCTTATTCTAATCAGTCTCTTTCTGGATCTAGTCAGTCTCATTACTGTAGATATTAACTCCTTAGATGGGGGCAGGGATCCCAGTGTACATTATCTTTATGAGACCTCCAAATTATGTTTCCAAAGAATTTTGTGATATTGTTTTCTGTACATGAAATCTTATTCCCAATGCGCAGAACCTGGACATAACTTCCGAGTTGTAGTGAATTAGTGTAAAAAGTGCTTTGCACCTGGTAGGGGAACGGCCAGCTTTCCTGATCTCCTTGCTGCTGCCTTTGCGTTCTTGAATCTTCTTAGTCAGAGATTTTTTTTTTTTTTGGTCAGACTTTCAGGTGTGAGTGGCTAGAATGTTGTTGATGGGTGATTAGTGCTTGAAGGGGAGGAAAAAAATAATAATAAACAAAGCAAAGCATTCCCAGCTCAGCGCTGCCCTTGCCCCAGCAGCCTCACAGGTAGGGTGAACGTCGAGGCGATTGTTCGTTGAAATCAAATCCATGACAACTGTTACCTGGATGTTGTTCTTCTCTTAACATCTTTGGCAACCACTGGCCCTCTGCTCCTTGCCAGCCTCGCCATGATGGGAGTAAATTGACCAGGAAGAGAACATCCTGATAGGTGGCCCGGTAAGCATCTGAGCGCTGAGAAAGGTTTCCAGGAAGGTGGTATTGCAGCATTGGTGTTACTCTGACCTCAGCAAGCTTAGCCGAATGCAAAGGACGGATTGCCGTGTCCTTGATGGGGGTACTGTTGGCATTTGGAGAGGGACAGTTCTTCGTTGCTTGGGACTGTCCTTAGAGTTATAGGAGGTTTAGCTTTCCTCTTCTCTGCCCAAGAGTTACAGGTAACCCTCCAGTCATTGTGACTAGCAAAACTGCACGTACTCATTTCCAGTTGTCCCCAGGGAGATGTAACGGTCCTGGTTGAGAACCATGTGGGTTAACATTAAAAAATACTCCTTGACAGCTTTAGAGGGTGTATAAATTACCAAAGGAGACGAAGGAAGGTCCTGGAATATCCTTCTTATAAGTCTCTATGGATAAGGTGCCCACCTCTCTCCAACGCATCTGATTTGGTTGTGTTCGAACACAAGGTATATGGAATAGAAGGTCGGCTTCTGTTCTAGGTTACTCTCTTTTGTTCAAGACCCAGTTGGTGGAGCCTCTTTTGGGGCCTTGGCTGTATGGCCAAAACGCCTGAAATGGTTCAGCTCTGGGCAAATCATCGATCACCTCTGGGCTTCTGTATCCCCTAAGAGAGAGAAATACGAAGCGACTATTTCCAGGAGATTCTAAAGCCCTGGTCAGCTTTCAGATTCTGCCACTGAAATGTTTTCTCCAGGTTCCTCTTTCCAGTAGGATGTCCTTTGGGGGCTGCGGGCTTGCTGACAGGCATCCTTGAAGGAGAGGGGCCACTGGAATACAGAATAGTCAGTGAGGGCGTCGCAGGTCCATGGAAATGGAAGGAACAGAATTGCTGAGAATTTTTCATAATAGAGAATGGACTTCTGCTTATTAACCGGAACAGCAGGGAAGAAGAAGGGGAAGCAATAATTAAAAGAACAATGGTGGCAAGCCTGTGGTGACTTAAATGTCAGGAGAACCTAATTTGCCCCATAGAAAATTTAGCCTTGAAAAGCCCCAGGGCTTCTGACACAGTCTGGGACCGCTGCCCTCTGCAGGCCAGAAGTGGACTGGCAGACAGCCTGCCACCCACCCAGGCCAGCCTTATATCTTCACCCCGGGCCGTTTCGTGAGTCATCAGTCTGGATCCATTTTCTCATGTTAAAATGGGCAAACGACTTCTTTCCTTCTGTTTTATCAGGATAATGGTGCTCTGGATGGTTGGGGGTTTTGTTTGTTTGTTTCCGGGGCCGGGTGGGGGTGGGGTGGGG